GATGCAGAATGGGTGCAATCTTGATATGATCAATTGAACTTAATATAGGAAAAGAGGTTGAAAGACATTTACCATGGTCAACTCTACCAAAAACGAATGATTCGAGCACACAACAAGAAGGTGCACCCAAGAGTATTTCAGGAAAGAGATCTTGTACTGAAAAAGGTCTGGCCGATCCAGAAGGACTGCAGAGGAAATTGGATGCCTAATTGGGAAAGGCCTTATGTGGTAAAAAAGGCCTTCTCGGAGGAGCACTGGTCCTGACTGAAATGGACGGGTCGAAACTACCTAATCATATTAATTCTGATGCAGTCAATAAATATTTCACTTAGGGTGAAAACCCGAAAGGGTTCCCTAAGTTAAATTAAAAAAATGCTTATGGTGAAAACTCGAAAGGGCGCCCTAAGTTGAATTCAAAAAAAATGTTTAGGGTGAAAACCCAAAAAGGCGCTCTAAATGGAAAAATGAAAAAGTAACCAAAATTAAGGTGAGTCCAAGATGAAAACCCACAAAGGGCATCTTGAAACCAAGGATGGATCCAAGTTGAAAACTCGAAAGGGCGGCTTGGATAATCATCCATAATTCGTGTAAGGGAAAGGTCCCTGATCAAAACAGTCAAACCCGATGGCATCCGAGTCTTCTGTGGACTTAACAATTCAGAGGAACCTTGCACTCTCCCGAACGTTGTCACATTTTTGAAGTCCCCTTGACAAAAGTTGTACTCAAAAGTCATCTAACTGTGTATCAGCTCAAGGGCATCCGTATTGTCGAGATTTAGGGCTTCTACTTGTATTTATTTTATTTATTGGCTTTTTGGAACATTTGCAATGTATTTTTTGTTCTTTTTTCCTCATAAATAAATATGATCATCAATTACTTTTAAGCATCTTAGATTGAATTTAAATGAGAATCATTTATTCACTTTTGAAAAGATATTTGTGTATTACCATACAAAGGTTTTTTTTGAAAGGTACATGTGCTCAGAAGCCGATAAAGTTTTTTGCACCGTACTCGAGATGATGGGTTCTAGTTCATTGAAAGGAATTGACTAGAAACAAACATTCCTTTTGCAAGTTCATAGACTGTTTATCATATTAAAGCCTATTGGAGAATCCACAAGATTAAGAATCAGAAATTCAAAATTCCAGAATCAAGAGTCGTCCGAAATGACCACAAAAGATTGAGACTTCTCTCTAAACCCTAAAATAACATATATTGTATATGCATTTTAGGCATACATAAGAACATTACATCCATAGCATCGCATATATGCATAATTTTACAGAATTTTGTCAGAGTCAATTGCGACTTCACGACGAAGAATATTGAACTCAAAGGAAACTCAAAATTAAAAACAACACATCATATCCAAGATCTCAACTTCGCAAGGAAGGATATCTAGCCCAAGGCAAATTTTTCAATTTGGACTCAACTTCACGACGAATGAGTCACCCACGATTTCAACTTCACGTGAAGGATATCGTGCCCACTAAATCGACTTAATTTCACAACAAAAGAGTCATCTACAACAACAGGGAGCTCTCTCCTAGCCTAATTTACAGCATAGCTCAAGGCGAGAAGGGCTATCTTCTAACGAAAACTTTCGAGTTCGATTTCATTCAGTTCGAAGGCATATCAACCGCATAATAGCAACAAGGAACTACTTTCTGGTCGAAGTTTTAAACTGAGGTCTTTAAGCCAAGAAAAAGACCATGGTCGACTACGATGTGGCAACAAGAAGCCACTTTCCAGTTTAGATTTCGAACTAGATTTCAACTTCACAATGAATGATATCATGCTCGAAACATCCAAGACCGATTCAATTTCAGGACGAAGGAGTCACTCGTAATTCAGTTCAACGGCGGAGAGCCATGATCTAGAAGAAATTTTTTAAGTCGAATTTCAACTCCGCAATGAAAGATATTCGATAGGAGAATCAACAGACTCATAGGAGCGAATTCACTTTTGGACCCTCTTCTTACCGAACAAAATTCTGTGTCCTTTTATCTTTGCCCTATTTTCGTTGTATGATAATAGGCAAAAATAGGCAAAGAGGGGCAGTTGTAGACACTTATTTTTGTCCGGGGTCTTTATTTTATAGCATAGTATATATAATAATTTCAAATATAGTTTTGAGAAAATATAATATATAGTTTTTGGAAGCTATTTTTTAAAAAATACGTATAATATATAGTTTTTAAAATGGTTTTGAAAATATATGGTTTTTAAATTATTTTTAAAAACTGTATAAATATATAGTTTTTTAAATATAATTTTGAAAGCATATAATATATAGTTTTTTAAAACGATTTTTGAAAACGTATAATATATATAGTGTTTTAAAACGATTTTTGAGAATATATAGTATATAGTTTTTTAAAATATTTTTGAAAACATATAATATATAGTTTTAAAAAAATTATTTTAAAACATATATAGTTTTTAAAATGATTTTTTTTAAAACGTATAATTTATAGTTTTTAAAATATCTTTGAAAATTGTATATAATATGATTTTTTGAAAACATATTTTTTTGAAACATAGTATATGATTTTGAAAATATAATATATTATATTTTTAAATATATATATTATTATTGTTGTTATTTATTTATTTATTTTCTTTTTATTTATTTTCTTTTTTCTCATTTTCAGGTTCAAATAGTCCAAGTTCGGGTTCAATCCGGTCTAGAATGCAGCCCAACCGAGCCACCGAGCCTGACCCAGCAAGATAGTCTGGTTAGGGGGCCTGACCTAGCCCAGCATATTAGGGTTTTATCATTAACCACGCCGCACACATCTCATCCGTCAAATCGGGTGCGAATCAAGGGTCCAAATTGAAGAGTTTTAAACCCTAAATCATATAGCATTGGCACCACACATGTGGCACATGGAAGCCACGCGCAGAGCGTGGAAATCAGAGCTGAGATCGGGACTGAACTATCCTGAAAATCCTGGCAAACAACTGCATCTAGAAACATTTCGAGACAAAAATCGGAACGATTAACCCAACAAAAAAACGAACAACCCAGTAAATCACACGAATCCCGACCATTTCGAGACTCAAAACGGCCAAACCCGGGGTAATAAAAGCCACCAGTGAGGCCAGGAAAAGGAGATCGAGAAAAAATTGAGCAAAGCACGAGCAACATCAAGAAAAACCAAAGCAATCCAAACGTTAAACAAGAAATAAAACAAAGCATATTTAAACATCCATCGCAAAATCAAGGCACAAGGAGAAAAAGAGATTCGGTTGCACGAAGGAAAGCACCATTGCGAGGAACAAAGGCGCCAAAATACGGAAGGCCACTAGATAAAATTGAAGCTTTAATCCTAGATCTACGTTATTTGGGGGTGTTTTAGGAGGTTTAGGTCTCGATTTTGGCTTCGGGGTGACGAGGGGGAGCTTTCGGGTAGTTTTATAGTTCCGGCCACCGTAGGATAGTAGCCGACAGGGCGGAGTGCGACGGTTATGGCCACCATGGGGTGGTCGACCAGTGGCCAGTTATGGGAAGTTGAGAGAGTTTTCATAGAGGGATGAGAGTATTTTGTGAAATGGGTGAAAATGTGAGAACTTTTTGGGTTTTAGGGGTTATATATACGAAGGACTAAAGTGCAAATAGTAAATTTTTAAATTATTTTCTCAGTCCCTTTAAGTTTGAAGCGTAATTCATTTTGGTCACCTATTGTAATTATGCCTCTGACTTTTTAATTAGTTCGATTTAGTCCTTATTTATAACTTATATTCTTGTAATTTAACCCCTCTAATTCTTTATTTTTCCTTGCAACACATCTTTAGAATTAATTTGGTCCCTCAATTTCCACTTGTTTTAATTTAATTCTTTAAAATTTTGTGTTATTTTTTTCTTTTGAAAAATTCTTAACATGTTTTTGTACTATTTTAAACATTTTTTAACATTTAAAAATTTGTAAATTATTTTATTTTACAATCTAATAACTTTCTGATTTTTAGGGGTAATTTTATTCGATCAAAGGTAAGTAGTTCGAATCGAATCTTTAAATTTCAATTTAACTTTTAGTTTTCGCAATTAAGACAACCGAGAAATTAAATTGGTACCTAAAGGGTAGTACAATGGTGCTAATCCTTCCTTGACTGTAATCGATTCCCGAATCCAACATGTTTTTGGTAAAACACAGATCAGGTAAGATGATAAATTAAGGTGTCCGATCAACCTAATTATTTTTTAAAAAATATCGGTGGTGGCTCTAACATGTTTCATTTAAGCCGGAACCCGATTCCGGACCCACTCGAAGGATGGTTGCGACAATATGCATAGATATTATATACTTGTATAATATTTATATTTTAGTATGTATATAAACAAATACTTTTTAATTAAAAACAAAATGATATTTATCTAAGTTCAAGGGTCAAATTAGTATTATATAGTATTATATATAAAGTTTAGGGTTCAAATTAACCGTTTCTATTGTTATTTCACATCATCAAACTAATATAAGTTAATGGCTCCGTGACTAAAATATAATAATTGATAACGTAAGTGAGTAAAATTTAATAAATCGATAATATAAGTGATCAAAACATAACTTTTCAAAATTGGTGATCAAACGAAAACAAAAGTGACCATTCCAATAGTTAACCCAAAAAAAGTTTATTCGCTTAAATTTGAAACGAAGAATTTGAGTCCTTTGAAATTCTAAATAGTATTTGAAATTCATGATTGTTTTTACTCGCAAGTCTATATTTAATTTTAAAATTTTAAAAACTTTTACATAAAAGTGGAATTCTAAACAAAGCGCTAAAGAACCTTTCCTAACATAATTTACACAATACATATAGTATTTATACAATTTTACAAAATATATATTTTAAAGTTATGATTTCATTATATCAACAACATTTTATCCAAGCCAAAAGTAGTTTACATGGAGGTAAATGTACAACTAAAGAAACCAATGCAAACATAAGATTGAAATTTCATTGATCCTTCAATTTTGCATACACTTTGACTTCGACTGAGGTTAGACATGAGTTAGTTAAGTATTAAAAAAAGGAAAAGCAAAACAACAGATGTGATGTACTCACTCAGATTTAGCTTTTACATTCTGTTTTGTCATTGGCTTAACTACCAACCGGAACGTCCAGACTGCCAACAAAGTCGCCTCGATTGGGGCAAGCCAGTATACGAGTATATGCTCCTTCGAGATATGATCTCCACGAGCATAAGCCCATCCCATGACCTGCATGTTTTAAATTCAAGTGTTCGAACCATTATGTTCTGCTATCAAAAATATCGAACGGGATTAAAAGAAACTGATTAGAGTACGTCTTTGGGTGCTTACAGAGGCAGGGTTCATGCATCCACCGGTGAGATCGGAACCAAGAATATGAAGAACTATCTTGGAGATACTCGAAATCCATGTCTTCGTGTAGAAACTGCCAGGGATCTTTGTAGCAAGACCAAGTGAGATGCTGACGATTGCAAATGCCAAGAGTCCTTCGACTAGTGCACCTCGATGGATATCGACATTCAAACGTGGCCCAGATCCTATTTCGGGAAACATCTGAATAATGAGCCGAACCCCCACAATAGATCCAATTACCTGAAGAAAAATCATATAAAATATGAGATACAAAATAACTTCGGAAAAATATAACTAAAACACTCGTTCGAAAATGTTTAGATCACGATTGTCAGAACAATACGTTCGGGATCATCAATGATCAAATTGAGAAAGCAAAAAATAAAATAAAATCAGAATATATTTCCTCATCGTCTGTCACTGTTATGCATGTTTACCTCCTTGGCTAAAGAGAAATTAAGAGCAATTGATATTGAAGAACAATCCAATCTCAAAAACAAAGAAGGATGGAATAAAGGATAAACAAGTAAAAACAAAAAAAGAGGCCTGTCATAAGTGAATCAAATACCAAATAACTTGTCTATCATAAAAACAAGAATTAAACTATAAAATGCACAATATAATATACCAACAAAATAAAGTTTCTTCTGTTTATAAAGCAAAACAACATTCTTTGAAAACAGATTATTTCTTCCATCCATCCATCACTCCATCTTGACATCCGTAGGAAGAATTGATGAGACAATACAATATCATCAAGAAATAACAAGAAAACAGATCTTGACGAATAACTGTGAGCAACCAAATCCATGCACCATGTAAAAAACCAGACACTTTGTTTGTGGAGTTTAACTAGTAAATTCAAAACCACATAAGTTCAGTATGAACAAACAACATTATAGTCCCAAGTTCAAAAGAAAAAAAATTACTTGATGCAGACATGAGACGAGGTGAGTATGATAATGGCAGGGAATCCTAACAAGAGAGTATCATGCCTTAGAGGCATCTGAAACAAGCTATTAAGACTATTTTCTTGATACATATTATTATTTATTTGTTGGTTTTCTCTATCCAGGCATAAAAATGTAGAAAACAAAAGCATCAACAAATGGGAACATCAAAAGAAATCTAATTAAATAGTGATCAAACGAATATCAACAGAGATTTATGTTGTAGAGGCGTATAATATACCAATATATTTGAGAAAATTAAACACGACAAACCAATCACTACACCAGAAAGGACGCAGGAATTAACGTTAGAGGGCAAATTTCTAAAATTTTGAGGGGAACGAACATATAAAATTTTAGAAGGGCATCCCTGCCTACACATTACAGGAAGGAATAGAAATTTTCAAAGGAAGTTAATGTCATTAACATATCAATGGAATTAAATTTATCCGGAAAACGATTGCTTTACATCATACCAAACCAATAGCTCTCAAATTACTATTCAAACAGCAAATATTTGTTCTAATACTTTGAAAAGGAAAAAAAAAGGTAACCTGAGCAGGAATTCTGGCCCCAACGGAGAAAAGGAAGTGGACGAAGCCCCCAGAAACGGCAGAAGCGAAAATGAACAAAGGATTGTAAGAGCCGCCATTGGTGACCTTACCCAAGAACGCGAAGAAGAACATGTTGACAACGGAAAAAGCTTCCTTCACGAAATCAGCCATAGGCTGGTGACCGATCCCCAAAACTTGCGTCACCAACGTCTTTATCACAACACCAGACCATGCCCACATGAAGGAGATTACAAAATCGTATACGATCAGCCGAACTTTCCCCATCCTTTACAAAAACTTCAGTTTGTACAAACTGTAGTCCGGTTTCCGGATTTAGCTTCACCTTCTACCGTTTTCGATTCCGCTTTCGCTCACCCAAGGTTTCCTTTCAACATGGCAAGGCTGACAAATTTCTCCGAATGTGGGGTTAGAAACGAACTTTCAAGGAAAATTCTGTTGGAAGCTTTTGTCTGTTAATTGGTTTTCTTTATTTGCTTAATTCACAAACTAGGCTTCTAAGAATATTTATGTTTCACTTTGACCCTTAAAGTTTTTTGTCTCATTTTAACTTAAAGTATGTATGTTTTATATGTTGGGTAAACTACTTATTTGTTCACCAATTTATTACTCAGTTTCTTTTTTGTCATTCAACTATTATTTTTTTAAAAATCATGCCTAGCATTACGTTTTAGTTCTATTTTAGTCACTCGTTGTTAAAAAATTAATAATGATGCTGGTGTGATATTTCTATTTTTCAATGATGGAGTGACATTACCTTATGGTGATACATAAATATCATTGTTAATTTTCTAATAGCATGTGATCAAAAGAGAACCTCAATGTAGCGTTATGTATGATTTGAAAAAAGATTAGGTGACCGAAATTGAAACTAAGTAATAGTTTAGTGAACAAATATGTAGTTTACCCATTGTCTTAGCCTCTTATGTAACAAAAGCTAAAAAAGAATTTGGACAAATGAGAACATGCCATGTGGCAACTTGCAAGTGACAAAAATAAGGGTAAATATATAAACGACCATCTAATTTTTAGAAGAAAAAAAATCGGTCTGTTATGTTAAAAGTTTAACAAATAAAATAATATGACAGTTGATAATTTTACATAATAAAATTTAGTCCTAAATTTTACCCTTTTATTTTAATTTAATTTTAATTTTAAAAATTTAAACTCCAACATTATAAAATTACACCAATTTAATCCGTACAAAATGTTGAACTCAATTGATCATATCATCAATGTTTGTCATCATAAACCAAACTTTCCTTCTAAATTCCCTCATTTTCTCAATTATGAATAAAAGAACAACAATACATAAATCATCGTGCCTGTGTGCCTAGGTGGATCAAATTTAGTACTAGTAGCCTCCATTGAGGACTAAAGACGCTCAAATCTCGCATAAGTCTCAACTTCATCGTGCTAATTTGCCTCAAGCCCACCTCTAGCAAGACTTGCAACTGAGCCGAACACCCAAGCCTAATTAGTCTTATTGGCGCTTGTCTAGACCTAGTGTCTACACTGATTGAGGCCTTATGAAACTTGAACCCATTTCCAACAATTGCACTGGGCCTGCCCTCTTCGACACAACTCGTAGGAGTGTTAACTTCTCGATTTTAATCGAATTAGCCGACCAAACCGAATTAATTTACTTAAACCTTCTTCCATCGAAATTAGTTCGGTCGGAAAATGATTATTTTTTTAATATTCGATCAACGGTTAATTAAGTTCGAAATCGACTAAGTAATCGAATTAATTGAAAATATTAAATATATAATACATTATAGGGTAAACTACACAAATGGTCACTAATGTTTGAGTAAGTTTTTGTTTTCCCACTAAAGTTTCAAAAGTAACAAATCGGGTCACTAATGTTTAAGTAAGTTTTTGTTTTCCTCACTAAAGTTTAAAAAATAACAAATTGGTCACTAATGTTATCGATTTGTAACAAATGGATCACTAACATTATTGATTAGTAATAAATAGATCACTCAACGTTAACAAATGTTAGATGAGACATGGATAACGGAAAGCTTAGTTGGACTGGTAAATGCTTACTTGGACCATTGACCGATATGCTAAAGAATTGAAACTGGTTAAATTATCAATCACCCCCTTCAACTTTCAAAAATGAAAACCCATCATCTCTAAAACCCAATCATCTATTTTGTAAAAAAAAAAAGTTTTACAGGGGGTAATATCCATACATGTTGGTACCTTTCGCTGCTGATTATTATAATTATTGTATTTATTGTTTCAAAAAAAAAAACTTAGTTGTTTCCGAGGAAGTTTTCAAACTTTGATTCTGTTGGTATTACAAACATTTATTATCTTTTATTGGACTTAGGCGGAACTCAGGTTGGCTCAAATATATTTAATTGTCAGAAAGCAAAACCTTAGCTCCAAGGTGTTGTGGAAGTAGTGAAGGTTACCTAAGAGCAGCCGCGGCGGCTGATTTCTCATCGGTTAACGTTTTATGTTAAAAAAATACTGAGCCATTTCAACTTAGTATGGATTGGATTTAGCCGGACATGTTTTGTCAATACTGAACTGAGCTAAAGTTCATTTTTAAAGCAGAAAAAGAAACCATGATCACAAGGTTAAGTTCTTTCGCTCAACCGACTGAGCTAGACAGACAATTGTTCACTAAGAGAGTAGAGGAAATCCAACTTCATTTATAATCGTTTTTGGGCTTTATTTTAAAGAGAGACGGTAGCAGCCATGCAGAAAAAGAAATCAAGCTAGCTTTGGTTCTTGGTTTTGGTTATTATGTGAACAACTACCCGTGAACATGGAAAGTTCTAAGCTTGCCTTGTAGTTTCCATTTAAGTTCATACTTAAACCCTTCCTATTTCAACATTCAAGAAGAAAATAAAAGAATCATTTTTTTACCAACAATCGATTGGTCTAGTAGGTTGAGATACTAGATCTCTTAAGCAAGATTAAGGGTTTAAATTTTGGCATTTGCAAATGGAGTTACTGGGTTAGGAGGATCGCCCTTACCTCGATCTAGATTAGTTGATCAATAGATTAGATACTAGTGATTAATTCAGAAAAAAAATATTTATTTTGAAATATGATTTAAGAACATCAATGAATGGTTAGGATTTTGGATGTTTTTAGATTAAACAAAAGCAAACCAAACAAAACCAGTAAACTCCAACTATTTGCATGTTTTCTACTGATAATTGAGCATCATAACTTCTAAACTATTTGATTTGCATAATCAACATCTGCGCGCGTAATCAGACCAATAACAACACTACACACATGGGCTCCCTTCTCAACAAAAATTTTGGTTTCCCCCATCGCCAAATGGATGTGCTTGGTTTAAGAAAAAATGCCGAAAAAATAAAAGTGTGGATTTGACGAGATTATTTTTGTTTATTTATGACCTGTTTGGTTGGTACGAAGCATTAAAGTGATGGTCAAGGGAGTCCAACATGGCGGTCAATATCATGAACATTAACGATGGTTAATGTTGAGTGATCCATTTATTACAATTTGTTACAAATTGACAACATTAATGATCAGTTTACAACAACAACAAAACCATATTCCAATATGCAATGGGGTAAGGGGGAGGTAGGATAGTAGGCTGTCTCCCAACGCCAGGTTGAGAGCAGCTTCCGTGGAAGACCTCCGACATTAATGATCAGTTTGTTACCTTTTAAGTTTCAGGGGGAAAAATGAAAACTTACTCAAATATTAATGATCATATGTGTAATTTACCCTATATTATATATATTAAATATCTATTTTAATCTCAACCTCACTAAGAATTAAGACTCAATTATTTTTAAACACACTAGACCCATTAAATTTTTAAAACCAAAAAATACATTATTAATCTCAAATTGATCTAAATAAAAAAGATATAAAAAAATTAGTTAATTCGTTTGGTGACCGAATTAATCAAACTTTATTTGGTTTAGTGAATGATTTAAAAAATTAATTTGATTAACGATTAAAGAAAAGATTGATTAATTATATTTTAGGGAATTTGATTCGATCAGTGGTTGAATCGAACATCTGAACACTCCTACAACGCTTATGGACCCATATGATTGAGTCGGTAAAGGCCCAAAACCTTAAGCATTCAGCTGGCATGTCTGTCTCGACCTATCACCCAAAGGCTAGAACAAGGTCGTATCTCTAAGTTTGCGCCTTTGAACTGAATCAAACCTAATACCCAAACTTTCCAAGGCCCAACACTTTCGGTTTCGCTCGATCTGTTTCGTTTGTACTTGTACTAATACCCACTAGGGATGGAAAACGAGCGAGGTGGATGCGGATACCTCTTTCCTATCCCCATACCTTCTTAATATTTTTGTATCCATAACTTACTCATCACCCACGACGGGTAAACTTTTTAAATTCATACCTGCCCAAGCGCGCGGGTACATTCTCAAATTCACCCCCACACCCACTACCCAACTAGATATCCACCATCTATCCCGTACCCGTATGTACTTGCCAATACTCTCCTAGCAGCAACCTTACATATTACATATACAACAAAATATAAAACAAATACATCCATTAAGAAGCATAATGAAATAATCCAAGGATTAATTGAATTTATTCCCCAACATTTGGTTAAATTACAAGTCATGTCCTATAAAATATTAAGATTTATATAATAGTCTCTAAAATTATACATAAATTCATAATGGTTCAAAATTTATATGGTGGGTAATTTGTGGATTAGTGGATGCAGAACGGGTAAGATCTTAAACCCATTACCTACCCACTACCCACGACGGATATGACTTTTTACATCCACACTCGCCCACTACCCATCAAACTTATATCCATCCCGCCCCAATTAGAACGGGTGTGATGCAAAATCCAAAAAACTGTACACGTCCGCCATCCCTAGTACCCACTCTAATTTATATTTTTACCTAATAACCCATGTTCAACTAAAACTATTTTGACCCACTTATCGTACCCATTGATCGTTTTTTTGGCCCAATACCCCAAGCAGGTTTATTTACTAGAGTATTAGGCCAACCCAACTTTTATTTTGGGAAATACGACAAATGCTACAGTGCACATAAAACTCGTCACCTCGAGGTGATGAATTCCCTCGGATCCCACGTAGGCCATTATTTTATTGTCATTAATATGACTCATCACCTCAGCGTGACGAGTCTATTAAAAATTATCTTTTAAAAATTGCAAATAAAAATAAATTTTTTAAATTTAAAAATAAAAAATAGAGGGAACTTGTCACCTCAAATTCAAAAAAAAGAACTAGTTGTTGGTCAAGGACAAACGCGATGGTCACTTGGGCAACGGTCACTTGGAACTCGTCACCTCGAGCTGACTAGTTCGACCAGAATTCTGGAAAAACTAGCCGTTTATAATCGTTGAGGGTAATGCTATAAATAGAGGTTTAGGGTTTTGGTTTTTCACCAAACCTT